TACACCACTGCAGTAGACATACACCTCTTATGGATTGCACTTTGGAGAGAGAGTCATGCAGTGTGAGAAACACCACCCTCTCTCTGCATTAGTTTCATTTCCCTTCAATGATATCAGGTAAGCACACTCGTCTCTCATAGTCCCCTTTGTTGTCTTTCATTCTGTTGAGTATTCAAAGCTGGTGGTAGACTATTGATCGTAATGATATGTTGATGGTGGTGTAATGTCAGACTGGCCCATTCTTATGTAAACTGGAAGATGATGCAAATTTAATAGCTAAAGAGTCACGTTGAACCTACCTACACACACACACACGCACACTGCCAATGTTACCTTGTATTCTGTCCCTCCAATATTTTACTTCCAGATGGGCTCCTATTCTGGAATTGAGTCAACTAGGAAAGGATGTGTGTGAGAAAGTACTCCTCAACAACTCCATGCCAGTTCAACAACAGCAAGTGCATCTATATCACTTTAACTGCCATGGTCCAGCGTACAGAATCCTGGGATCTGTAGTTTGGTGAGGCATCAGCACTTCTTGGCAGAGAAGGTGAAAGACCATGTAAACTTACACATTTCAGTCATCCATATGATGGAGCTACAGCACTTAAAGTAGTGTCGCACTGCATTATTTCTACTGTGTAGATGCACCCTTAGTGCCTTATCAAAATAGTGTCTGGGCCCATAACCTGTTGGATATACTGGAACCAGGTGCATGGAATAAGTGGGAAAGGCCCTTTTTATGCCAAAGGATAAAAATATTGACTACAGAAATTATATCTGGAGTAAGAGAGGTGGTGAGGGATGCTATGGCTAATCACATATCTAGACAAAAGAGAGGTCATTGAGAGAGGAAGGAAGTCTTTAAGAAAGAAAAAGGAAGGCAAAAAAGGGATACATCAGCCTAAGTATCTGTCTTTTCCACTATTATTCCCTGGAGGCACATAGTCTTTAGCATAGTCATGGTTGCATTGCCCTTCCAGTGTCCATTTCCTCACTTTATAGATACATAAAAGTATAGCAATTCTAATACATGATTGGGCATTTTCTTGACAACTGGTGCTGAAATGTGGAATATACATCACACCATATCTCATTACATGATTTAATCTATTATAGGATGTTAGAGCTATTATACCTGATATCAGACATGCTCCAACAATTTTTCATTTTAGAGGCATGATGAAGATTTCAGCATAAGCATAGCTATCTGGTTTGCCACTATGTGCACAGAATGCAAGGTCAGAGAAGCCTTTGGTTGGATTCAGTAGGGTCTCATTGCTAGTCTTACCTATTTTTGCAAGTCTTCTTGGCGTACTATACTCAAATCATCTGTTTTGGGGTTTGTTTGTTTTTTGGGTGGTGGGGTGAAGTTAATTCTGTTTCTTGATTTTATGTATTGTTTTGATATGATGTGTTTTATTATGTATTTATTATGACAGGTTGGATACCAAATGGAGACTGTGACTGTGACTTCTGGAGATTGTGAGGGCTTGAGAAGTCACAAAAGAGTACAGGGACTACATGCAGTGACACTATGCTCACCTCCATTGTATCAAGATGCACCACATTGAAGGTGACACTATTGCCGTGCATCCAGATACAGGATACTCCTCCACAGGTGCATCTACACTGTCAGAATAATGCAGTTTGACACCTCTTTACCTGCTGTAGCTCCATTCTAAGGCATGCTGGGATCTGTTGTTTTACATGGTCTTGCTGGTGCCTCACAAAAATACAAATCCCAGGATTTGCAGGATGGAGCCATGGCAGTTAAAGTGGGGTCAAAGTGCGTTATTTCTACAATGTAGATGCACCACGTCTCCCTGCTCTCTGTTAAGTATCAAGAGCCTGAAATCTGCAGATTCTAGAAATGGATCCACCAACAATCCTACCAGTGGTAGGGCAGAGAGGTGATGGTGGTTGCAATAGCTAAAAGGTGGGTTTTGGGAGGGGGATGAATTAGAAGACACAGAGTAATTCTGCCTGACAGAACTTTATGACTCTTTTTCTGATCCAGGATTTGTTTATTATTAAAGTTACGGGAGTCCCATCTCATGTTCAGCCTGGCAATCCTGGTGGTCAAAGCCTTTGAAACCTTCTGCTATAAATGGCTTATAGTGTGCTGGCTGAGCCATAGGGAGCTTTCCAGCACCATATTCACACAAAATTCTTCTTTTTCATTGCAGAAAACGGACTTTCCAAGCTGTTCGATGATGCCCATGCTCCAGGAGGGGTTTTTATGATAGGAAGATGAACCCGCCATCTCCTATGATCTTTCTTATTCTAGCTGCTCTTCTGACTCAGTTCAAAACACTGGCTCTACACGAAGGTAGGTGTGCTACCTGCTGGGTTTGGGGGGAAAGGACTGCAATGCCCACACACCATGCTGGATGGAGCATTTTGGGAACTGGCTGTTGTTGTGCACCCTCGAGTCATGTCCAACTTACAGCAACCCTAAGCCGAACCTATCATGGGTTTTTCTTGAGTAGAGTTGCCTTCCCCTGAGTCTGAGAGAGTGTGACTCACCCAAGGTCACCCAGCGGATTTCGTGGCCGAGCTGGGAATCAAACTCTGATCTCCAGAGTTGTAGTCCAACACTCAAAACATTTTGCCACATTGGCTCTCTCGGGGAACTGTCCAAGTACAATACAGTAAAAAATATACAAAAGTCCAACATGAAACATGAATCTGTATACAAACTGTATGAATGGTATGAATAGAAACTAGAATCAAACTTTTGACCATATTAAACTAGAATCCCATATTAAAACAATTGAAAACGTTCTGTTTTGTAGTTGTGTGTCTTCAAGTCATTTCTGACTTATGGCAACCCTGAGGTGAAACCCATGGGGTTATCTTGGTAAGATTTGTTTAGAGCAGGGGTCGGCAAACTACGGCCCCTCGAGGCCATTGAACCGGCCTGTCACCAGTCCTGCCGCCATTGCCACCGCCGCGCACGTGCCACCACTTTACTAGCACGTGTGCGCGTGACGCAGAGCACCATTTTGTGTTCCAAAATGGCGCCCACGCTCACACACACATGCGCACGAAAGCGGGTGCCATTTTAGAACACAAAATGGCGCCGGTGTCATGCACATGTGCTTGTGACATGCGGCGCCGTGTGCATGTGTGCGCG